TTCCTCCACAATGAAAATGGATGCTCATGCATCAGCACCCAATGTGCAATAAATTCCCTCATCTTCAGCATACTGAATTGGCCCGTAGAGCAGGCAGGACATTAGAGCCACCCTGAGAATTGGAAGGGGGGAAATTATTTGTTGTTGCCTCAAGTGAGTTGTTCTCTTTGCACACCTTTCAAATGTCTGTTGAATTGTGTTGTGCTTCCACTGGCAGTGATTTTCAACTTTGTTTTACAATGAATGCACTCTCCCCTTTATACCACAGGAGAAACCACCTCCGTAAATCTGACCACAAACTGATGTCTTCGTTCTCTTCTTCCTCTCTAGTTGATTGTCATTCTCAACATTTTCGGGGCTACTCACACTTGCTCGGTACCACCGTGCTCCATAAATGTTACGCCGATCAACTTCTTACCGTAATACAATCGTCGACGTCATCCAATGTAGGGGTGCTTGAGGAACTGTCTGCCGATGCCATACCTACAATTAAAAAATGAATTAACCGCTATCGTTAGACAATATCATAAAGTTAAAATAATATATAATTGACATAATATATATTCATTTACAAAATATATACCCAAAATGGTTTCTTCAATCAATGCAATAATAATATACAAACTGTAACTATCAGGGACGTGAGATTTAGCACAAGTAAACTAACAGGTATGTATATCAGTTGCGCAAGTTACAGATTTGGCTTGGCTCTTACGATATTATTAACAAAGCAACCCAATGAAGATTAAAATTGATCTAGAAGGTTCAAACACACTGATCAACTTCCAGAGAGATTTTTCTCAATTCCTCCAGCCTCAATAGCTAGTACATTTATCCAAATTGGCTAACATCACATAGATATAAAAATCCTATTTTACAAGAGATGCGACAGAATTACTAAAACTTGAAAGGATAGGTACTTCAAATTCTTCATAAATTAACAATTAAGGGAAACAGCATGAAATAAATAATCAAGACTCAAACCACCAGAAACAATTGCAAAAAGCAAACTACATTGACATTAACATATAAGTATCGGTTTTAATGCAAATAACAGACAAGAAACTCAGAAGTCAAAAAAGTGAATTTCAAAGTGAAGTATACAAGCCACTGTATGAACACAATCCTCGTTCCAGCAATTTGCATCCTCAACTTTCAAGTTTACAAGGTTAATGAAGCAGTTAATTCTTATTCTCTTCTCACAAGGAGAAATGCCGTTTCATGTGCAACAAATTAGGAAGTTTTAGAAGCCGATAAATTGTAATTTCCTGCTGCTTAAAATACCGACGGTCCTCTTCATCAACTAGAACAAGGTTCAAGTAACACTTCACACTGAATTTGTTGTTAATATGCGATGAGTTGGTGTCAACTTATAAGGGCTAGAAACAGTCTGATTGGAATTGATTCATCTGTAAAGCAAGAATGAATTTATAGCAAATGCATCCACCAACTCATCGAAATACATAATTTGCGGTACATCATTTTCACTTCTCTAAAGCATAAAACAAAAAAACCTGGAAGTTTCAGAGTGTTGGGCCTCCTTTTCCGGTTGCCGAGATCGGAGATGGCGACGGAGATTACCGATTTCAGAGTGTTTGGTTCGCTATTTGGGATTTGGGGGTATTTGGGATTTAGGGCAAGAACTGAAATTGAAGCTCTGTTTGCAATATCGTGTTATTTCAAATTTGCACTTTGGGGGGAAACTGTCATTTTAAAAAAAAAAATTTCACTATAAAATATCAGTTTAATACCTAATAGTTTAAAAAATCAGCAAAACACCCTGTGAAGTGTACAGTGCTTAATCGAGCCAGACCAGGCTCGTGAGCCCAAGAGCCGAGCTTCACTGTGTTCAAACTCGACTCGGTTAACGAATCGAGTTCGAGTTGAGTTGAACCGAGCCTTATCGAGCCGAGCTCTAAACGAGCTTTTATCGAGCCGAGCCGAGTCGGCTCGTGAGCCTGCTCAGCTCGTTTACAGTCCTAAGTTTTAGCATCGCCCAGACCGGACAGGTGACCGGCTCCTGGTCAAACCGGTCGATTTGATCCGAGTTTTAGAACAGAGAAAAAATTACGGCTGCATTTAGTTTCCTTATTTCACCAATATCTTATCCTTATTACAATTACAAATGCGATTTTGTTTTTTTTATTTTCAAAATCATATTCTAAATTAAGAAACTATTTTAAACTCTATAGGTTTGTTAATTAACAAAAACACCCCAACAAAAAAATTTATAAATTGACAAAACACTTTCACGCACCCATAATTGCAAATTCTGACAACTATCGTCGGTGGTAGCAAGAATCTGTCACAATCATGCCCTACTGATCGGTAATGTGCCGATTTGGTCTTTTTCGACCAGATCCACCGTAGATCTAGCAAAAAATGTTAGATTTGGCCACCAACGATGGCCATGACCGTCAATGACGGCCATATCTTTGGCCGTCATTGACGGTCAGATCTGACATTTTCTAGTTAGATCCACCATAGATCTGGCCAAAAAAGTCAGATTAGTGAACGACTGGCTAGATCCGATCAGTCGTGCCCCATAACGCCAGATTCTGGCCAGATCTCAACATAATAAAACAAACACACCCAATATTTACAAAGGGAGGGAAATTAAGAAACCAAAGAAAAAAAATACAGGCTAAATTAACTTATCAACAATCAAGTCACTCATAGGATAAAGAGCAATTTTCCGAATTTTTTTATTGTATAATAATAAATTATATCCAAGTTATCTTTACAATTATTCATATTTGTTTCTCCTAATATAGAAATCTCTGGTTTATTGATGATTTAGACGATGTTTATATTTAAAGAGAAAATGGGTCAATTTAGAGTACAATTGCGGTTAAAAATAATATTTTAAACACACCATGGAGAAGAAAGTATGAAAAGTTTTTAAAACAAACTTTCAAAAAAAAAAAATAATAATAATAAAAAAAAACTTGCAAGTTTGGAGACGTAAAAATCTACCTGTACGGAAAGAGGGACTGATCCCGTGAGGTCGAGGCCACTAGCGATTTGCTGCACCTGCATAGGTAAGAAAACAAGCGTAAAGCAAACGAGAAACATCAGGGTGGTGTTTGCCGTTGGCACTTCGACTCTTAAGTCAGCAAGGCTGAGTGAGGCTAGTTTAGTGAGGATTAGGGAGAAGAAAAGTTACCGAGAGTCTAGTTAGGGACTGTGACTACGGCTGTAATGCGAAGTTCTCAAGAGGGGGAACTTCAGGGTCTGAAGGTGTAATGTCTCTGTCCTTTGTGAAAGGGTTAGCCTTTGCTTAAATAGCGACTGCATGTTCTCTGAATCCTGGTGGGACTGGGAGTCCTTGCAGCGGTGGTCTTCCTAAAGAGTGGAGCCTTTGGCTCCCTTATCTCAATAGGAAAAGGAGTCCCAGTATGCCTTAGGATACGGACGTTAGACGAATTGGTATAACAATTGACTTCTTTAGTAGAGTTCAAGTAGTATTGTCGTTCGTAGAAGACTGTGGGCTTAATTATTAACAAAAGCACCCCAATGAAGATTAAATTGATCTAGTAAGGTTCAAACCCACTGTCACTTCCAGAGAGATTTTCTTCAATTCCTCCAGCCTCAATAGCTAAGTACATTTATCCAAATTGGCTAACATCACATAGTATAAAAATCCCTATTTTTACAGATGTCTGACAGAATTACTTAAAACTTGAAAGGATATTACTTCAAAATCTTCAATAATTAACAATTAAGGGAAACACATGAAAAAATAATCAAGACTCAAACCACCAGAAACAATTGCAAAAACAAACTACACTTGACATTAACATACAGTATCGTTTTAATGCAAATAACAGACAAGAAACTCAAGAGTCAAAAAAGTGAATTTCAAGTGAAGTATACAAGCCACTGTAGAACCCAATCCTCGTTCCAGCAATTTGCATCCTCAACTTTCAAGATTTACAAGGTTATATGAAGCAGTTAATATTCTATTCTCTTCTCACAAGATGAAATGCCGATTTCATGTGCAACAATTAATTGAAGTTTCTAGAAGCCGATAAATTGTAATTTCCTGCTGCTTAAATACCGACGGTCCTCTTCATCAACTAGAACAAGGTTCAAGTAACACTTCACACTGAATTTGTTGTTAATATTGCGATGAGTTGGTGTCACTTATAAGGGCTAAGAACAGTCTGATGGAATTGATTCATCTGTAAAGCAGAATGATTTATAGCAAATGCATCCACCAACTCATCGAAATACATAATTTGCGGTACATCATTTTCACTTCTCTAATCCTCCTCCTACCACAGCCAAACCATGCACTAAATCCCAGGAACTTATGGGATAGGAAGGTTGATCTCCAACAGTTGCTACTCTTCTTGAAAATGACAAAGGAGGAGTAATTGAAGTTTAGTTAGTATAAATATAAAGTAATAGCTAAATTTAATAAAAACAATATTCAATATAAGTATGTAACCTACTTTACATCATTTCTTTACCCCATTCAATGTCTTGCTCCAATCACATCCACATAAGAGCATCTCCACCGTGTTGGGAGCCAACGACGATCGGTACGTGTCAATAACCCTACTGCCGACGCTGAAAGCAGACTCAGAAGCAATTGTAGTAATAGGAATGGCTAATATGTCACGAGCCATGGTAGACAAGATAGGGAACTTTGTTGAATTAGCCTTCCACCAGGTCAAAGCATCAAATGTCGTAGCATCCCCAACACATTTATGGCATCCCTCTCCCAGGTAACAGTCTAACTCTGATTTCGTTGGCTCAACCATCTCAACCCCATCCAGATACTCACTAAAATCATCCCAATCATCCGCCATCTCTGCCGCTGCCCCTGACCCCTCACCAACCTCCTGAACTGCACCCCCTGTAGATGCAAAAGCACGGGCAGCTGTCGATGCTTTACTGGCATCAACATACTCCCTATATACCTCATACAAGGCATCTCGAATAACATCCATATTTGCCCGCGATTCAACTTAAGGATACATCTTAGGGAACGCCTATTCAATTACCCTCATCTTCAGTCTGGGATCCAAAATAGCAGCCACACCCATCAATAGATTACATTCTCCCCAATATTTGTCAAACTTTTCTTTCATTTTCCAAATCATGGTCTGTATAAACTGATCTCCATCCCGACTCTTATTATCCAACATAATTTTTATTGTACATACTTGTTTTAGAAACAAGTTTGATGTCGGATAATCACTCCCTGATATCAGATTCGACGCAGCACTAAACACCTTCAAAATAGGACAAATTTTCTCAACTTTGTCCCAATCCTCCTCCTTGGGACAATAATGATAACTCAAATCCCTCTTCTTCAAACAAGGGAAAACGCGCCTAAATTGCATTGCCGTTGTCAACATATAATATGTTGAATTCCATCGCGTTTTGCAATCAAGAATAAGCTTGCGAAATGGCAATCGGCGTTGTTGAACAATCTCTGAAAACATCTTTAGTCTACTCTCCGATGAATTGATATACGACACGGTATCACGGATGTCCTCAATAATGTGTCTAATCTGATGAAGACCATCTTGAACAACCAGGTTCAAGATATGTGCACAACACCTCACATGAAACATCTTGCCCTCACATATGAGCTTCCCCATAGCTTGGAAATTATCTTTCAACACTTTTACTACAACATCATTGCTTGAAGGATTATCCATCAATATCGTGTGGACCTTAGCTTCAATTCCCCAATCCATCAAACACTTGAAAATTGCATCAACAATGGCAACACCAGAACGGGGAGGAGGGAAATTAATAAAGTTCAACACCCGTCTATTAAACTTCCAATGATCATCAATCCAATGCCCAGTCAAAACCATGTATTCCATCCTCTGGTTGCCTGAATGCCATAGATCTGTGGTCAGACTTATCTTCCTAACACCCTTCAATAGGGTCAGCAACTTCTGTCTCTCACTTTCAAACACTTTCATACAATCATTCTTACAAGTATTACGGGATATCGGAGTCCATTCAGGAATCCCGTACTTCATCATATTGTTCAACCCCTCTTCCTCCACAATAGAAAATGGATGCTCATGCATCAGCACCCAATGTGCAATAAATTCCCTCATCTTCAGCATACTGAATTGGCCCCGTAGAGCAGGCAGGACATTAGAGCCACCCTGAGAATTGGAAGGGGGGAAATTTATTTGTTGTTGCCTCAAGTGAGTTGTTCTCTTTGCACACCTTTTCAAATGTCTGTTGAATTGTGTTGTGCTTCCACTGGCAGTGATTTTCAACTTTGTTTTACAATGAATGCACTCTCCCTTCCTTATACCACCAGGGAGAACCACCTCCGTAAATTCTGACCACACAACTGATGTCTTCGCTCTCTTCTTCCTCTCTAGTTGATTGTCATTCTCAACATTTTCGGGGCTACTCACACTTTGCTCGGTACCACCTGTGCTTCCATAAATGTTACGCCGATCAACTGCTCTTACCGTAATACAATCGTCGACGTCATCCAATGTAGGGGTGCTTGAGGAACTGTCTGCCGATGCCATACCTACAATTAAAAAATGAATTAACCGCTATCGTTAGACAATATCATAAAGTTAAAATAATATATAATTGACATAATATATATTCATTTTACAAAAATATATACCCAAAATGGTTTCTTCAATCAATGCAATTATATATATACAAACCTGATAACTTATCAGGATGACGTGAGATTTAGCACAAGTAAACTAACAGGTATGTATATCAGTTGCGCAAGTTACAGATTTGGCTTGGCTCTTACGATATTATTAACAAAAGCAACCCAATGAAGATTAAAATTGATCTAGTAAGGTTCAAACACACTGATCAACTTCCAGAGAGATTTTTCTTCAATTCCTCCAGCCTCAATAGCTAAGTACATTTATCCAAATTGGCTAACATCACATAGATATAAAAATCCCTATTTTTACAAGAGATGCTGACAGAATTACTTAAAACTTGAAAGGATAGGTACTTCAAAATTCTTCAATAATTAACAATTAAGGGAAACAGCATGAAATAAATAATCAAGACTCAAACCACCAGAAACAATTGCAAAAAGCAAACTAACATTGACATTAACATACAGTATCGGTTTTAATGCAAATAACAGACAAGAAACTCAAGAGTCAAAAAAGTGAATTTCAAAGTGAAGTATACAAGCCACTGTATGAACCACAATCCTCGTTCCAGCAATTTGCATCCTCAACTTTCAAGATTTACAAGGTTTTATGAAGCAGTTAATATTCTATTCTCTTCTCACAAGGATGAAATGCCGATTTCATGTGCAACAATTAATTAGGAAGTTTCTAGAAGCCGATAAATTGTAATTTCCTTCTGCTTAAAATACCGACGGTCCTCTTCATCAACTAGAACAAGGTTCAAGTAATACTTCACACTGAATTTGTTGTTAATATTGCGATGAGTTGGTGTCAACTCATAAGGGCTAAGAAACAGTCTGATATTGATTCATCTGTAAAGCAAGAATGAATTTATAGCAAATGCATGCACCAACTCATCGAAACACATAATTTGCGGTAAATCATTTTCACTTCTCTAAAGCATAAAACAAACAAACATGGAAGTTTCAGAGTGTTGGGCCTCCTTTTCCGGTTGCCGAGATCGGAGATGGCGACAGAGATTACCGATTTCAGAATGTTTGGTTCGCTATTTGGGATTTGGGGGTATTTGGGATTTAGGGCAAGAGCTGAAATTGAAGCTCTGTTTGCAATATCGTGTTATTTCAAATTTGCACTTTGGGGGGAAACTATCATTTTTTAAAACTTTTTTCACTATAAAATATCAGTTTAATACCTAATAGTTTAAAAAATCAGCAAAACACCCTGCGAAGTGTACAGTGCTTAATCGAGCCGGACCAGGCTCGCGAGCCCACTAGCCGAGCCAGGCTCTCGAGCCCACGAGCCGAGCTTCACTGTGTTCGAACTCGACTCGGTTAACGAATCGAGTTCGAGTCGAGTCGAACCGAGCCTTATCGAGCCGAGCCGGACAGTCCTACACGGGGCCATGATAGGAGTAAAGTAACAGAAACACAATTATGAAAATCGTTTTCCAGAGCTTTAAGAAGATGGTTCTATGAATAATTGTGGCAACAGATAATAAACTGAAGGGAGACTGATCAAGACATTCAAGAAATTTAATTAAGAGAATTGCCAGTTAAAATTCTTCATACTTCCTTATAATCAACAATAATCCGTTTGGTTAGTTATTTAGAGTAACATTCTATGCTATTTAGCATTTTTGGAAAATATGACAGAATTATGAGAAGTTTTTGGTACATTTCTTAATAGCATTTTCTAAAAATATTTAGATTATTTTTAACCCCTTAAGTTTGTTAATTTAACTAAACACTTCCACAATAAAAGTTTATAAATTGACAAAAACACCCTCACCCACCCACATATTGCCGACAGTTGGCCACTACCGTTGGAAGGTGGCCATAATGGCGCATGATTGGCTGGATCTGGTCGGTTGCGTGCTGATCTAGCCTTTTTCGGTCAAATCCACCATAGATCTAACCAGAAACGGCCAGATCTACAGCCACAAATCTCTGGTCGGCCAAGATATGGTTGTTGTCAATAGCCAGATCTGGCCAAATCTAGTCGTCAACAGCTAGATGTTTGGCCATCGTTAAGGCAGAGGCAGCGACAACGGCGATGAGTGTTGGTGGGTGATAGTGGCTCGGGTGGGCGAAGGTGCTTTGGTAATTTTAAAACTTTTATTGAGAAAAATAATTGCTAATGTTTTGAGTTGAATAGGATATTTAAATTTTGAAGAATATTAAAACAAATGCATTTTTGGGTTTCTAGGATAGGATGTTGGAATAGGATAAGGGGAAAAAATTGTGCCAAACGGACGCATAATATTAATTAAAACTTAGGTGCGTAATTATTTTTTTATTTTATTTTATTTTTTTCAAATTGCATAAAGCCCATCATCCAATCTATGGTTCGTTATGTTATCAGTTAACAGTTAGAAGAAAACACGCCCAAGTCTTTGCTTCATTAGAACAAGTAGTTGCTGGGCTACCAAATAGTCCATACTAGGGATGTATATGAGCCGAGCCGAGTATCTCGGTACTCGAGCTCGGCTCGTGATGAACAGTAGCGAACTCGAGCTCGAGCCAAGCTTAGTCGAGCTTCAATATTCGTGTTCAAGCTCGAGCTCGCGAGTATGAAGTTGCACTCAAGCTCGAGCTCGAGCCTAATCGAGCTCGGTATAGTTGCAAATTACTGTATGTCAGCAATATATATATATATCACCTGTCACCTCATTTTCTCTTTCTTCTTCTCACCCGTCACCTTATCTTTTTTTTTTTTCTCTCTTTCTCCTCGTCCTCTTCTCTTTCTGCCTTATTCTCTTCTCTTTTCTTACTTCTTTAGATCTTCTCCTTCATCTTTTTTTTTTTTTTTTTCTTTCTCCCCATCCTCTTCTCTTTCTTCTTTACTTCTTCCATATTCTCTTCTCTATTCTCACCTCCTCTTCTCTTTCTTCTTCTACTTCTTCAGATTTTCTCCTTCATTTTTTTTCTTTCACATTCTAAGCTCTAATGGAACCGAAGATGAATGAAGGTGAAAGAGAAGATGAATGAATTTGGATTTTTGAAGCCGAAAGAAACAAAAAGAAACATATTAGTTTGGCTAGTTTTATGTCCAGTCCAGTTTGACTGTGGATCTGCTACTGTTTAAGCAGAGAGTTAGGACTTAGGATTTAGGGTTGAATGAAAAAATCCCAAATGGGTTTTGAGTTTTTGTTTGAGCTTTGAAATGGGTTTATCGTTTTTGTCTGTGAATGGGTCATGGGTGTTGTTTGTAATTTTGACAACTTAAAAATAAAACAACTTTTGAAATCTTGCAAATTGGCCCCTGAAACTCGTTTAAGCTCGCGAGCTCGACTAGCCGAGCTCAGATCAGATCGAACTCTACTCGCTACTGTTCACGAGCTGCTCGAGCTCGAGCTCGACTCGACTGGTTTCGAGTCGAACTCGAGCTTATGACAAGCCGAGCTCAAGTAGCTCGCAAGCTACTCGGCTCGTGTCTCATCCCTAGTCCATACACATTACTCAATAGTAATGAACCAAATTGATTTCTAGTTCGACAATATTATTCTATAGCAATTAAATGCATGCATATTAATATACTTGTTTTTTTTAACCAAAAACACATATAAAACATTAAATTATTAAAAGAATTGTTTTGGAATTAAAAACAGTAGTCATGATTCCATTTTGATCTTGTTGATACTGTTTATAGCTTGGGCTCTGTTGATTTCTATATAAATGGAGCTTTATAGAAGAACCCCACAAGGGTTTTAGAGGTTCTAGTTAATTTTGTAGTTGGTATTATGCATGGTTACCAAACTTTTGCTTCATGCATACATAGTTTGATACATATATATGTACATGTGTGTGAAAATAATTGTGTTATAGTCTTGTAACATAGGCTGCCTTGCAGCTGAGTCTCCTAGAGTTCAGCTTGTTTAATGACGTACTTTGTATCTTTTACCTCTCCTTCTGTTATAAATAAATAATAATCTTCTGTTGTTATATTAATTATGCAGTCTCTCTTCTACTGTTATTATAATCTGCATAATTCTCTCTAGGTGTTTTGGGTACGTAATGGATAATTATATTAATTGTTTAAGCTGCAAATACGCGGCAGGACCCAACAGCAAGCTATACAGTTCCTAAACACTTATAGGAGTAAGATTTAATTATAAATTTGTGTTATCTATGAAACTAGTTAATTAGAGATTAATTTGTAGATCACTTCATGTTTCATAAAGTATCTCTGCTCAGTCTTGGCTTCGGCTCATGAATGTGTGTTGGCGAGGAAGAGGTTTTCTGGAAATTGCAAAATCGGCTGAAGATTCTCAAGTGGATATTAATTTTTTATACAGGATTATGAATATGAAGGCAAATTGAGCACAAGATTTCTTACTTCTTAGTAACTTATAAAGATAAAATTATCTTAGAGATTGTTTCTTCTTTGTTTTTACTTAAACTTTAATATTTAGCTAGACTCGTACATCAGTTAATTCTTTCTTTCTCCTTTTTACTTTTTCCCGTCATTTAGGATGGAGTTTTCACTACAGTACATAGTATCAATTTGCAGTAACACAGATATCAGCAGACTAAGTTTGGAAACCACAAAAATTAATGAAAAGAATAATCAACAGTTTGGTAACTGCATGCTACGTTTTCAACAAAGTTTTGTGAGATTATTCACCATAGACTGAATCCATGAATATAATGCTACTCTTTATTCCTTGTAAACCTTCAAACGAGATTAGGATAGAAGAAGATAAGGTTTTCCTTGTGGCATTCATGATATACTCTTCAAAAAGTGAAAGATACAAAAGAGAAAAAAAATCATGTTCTCTAATTAATTAGATATCTTCTTGATCTTTCTTTGAGTATAGCCTCTCAGGCATTCTTGATCATAAATTTGGAAGCCTGTATGGGACCTTTTAAAAATTCGTTTCAATATATTCATAGATATCC